GTGTTTGGGTTTTTCTGTTTTCCTCTCAGCGTTTGTTCTGTGGGAACTTCAGAAAAGTCTGCGTATTCAGAATATGGATTAAGACAGAGCAAAGCTGTCATACCGGTGAACACTCTGGCATCTAGATGTGTAATAGTTTATTTTCTGAACTTGTGAACGTGTTCATTATAAAACTACGGCTGCAACTGATGTTGACTCTGGCATTTCGTTTTTCAGTTGCTCAAGTATCTTGGCTGTAGTAGAATTAAGATTACTAAAATATCAGCCAGTTTAAGTATAAAAAGCAAGGGTACCAAAAACTGAAAATGCACTAAATAAAAACAAGTAGTAGCTAAACTGAGCTTCAATTGCTGAAAATTCCTTTTTCAAAACAAAAAAAGAGCAGAACTGGAGCTGAAGATCATCAAAATGAAGAAGTGCTGAAATAAATGCTGTACAAGAGAAAAAGAGCAGAAATTAGCTCAGCAGGCAGTTTCTGATTGGTGGCAGTTTGTAAACACCCCTATCACACAAATGTGGACACGCATGTCCCCACACAGCAATGTTTGCACATAAGGACACACACACACTGTGATACACACCTGCCTCTGTGTTTCTATGCCAATCAGTCTGAACCAGTGTCTTTTATACAGTCACTGGTCTGAATCTGCTGAATTTAAATCCACCTTTCAGGAGCAGCTTGTGTCTGCATCCTTAAGTCATTTTTATGCTCACTGCATCCTTTGTGTCTCAGGTGTCACATGACGATTTTCACATCACATCCTGTGTTGTGAGAGACAATCTTTGTAGCGCGTTGGTCAGTCAGTCACCTCTTCATTTTTGTAACTTGGAGCATTGATCTGCAGCTGTCGCAAAAATCCTACACCGAAGCTCAGACTCGTGCAAATACACAGAGTGAGATGTTGTAATCGGTTTGAGAACTGAGTCTTAGGCTACGTTCACTCTGCAGGTCTTCGTGCTCTATTCAGATTTTTTGATCAAATCTGATTTTTTGTCTGCTTCTTCACACTACAAATAAAATGTGACAGCAAACGCGCTCTAGTGTGAACCCTCAAAGCAGCCCGCATGCGCAAAAGAAGACGTCACACACAACGCGCACAGCATTGTGTGACTGATGGCCCTTAATATAAAGACTTGTTTCGTACTTTACGTTTCCCAATTTTGCTTTAAGTTATAAAGTTATTTTGTTATTTACATTTGGCCTAATAATGATCATGATTGCTGTTTTAGAGGAGCGGTGCTTCAAAGGATAGTTGCAGATTTCTGTCAGAATCTGCAGATTATACAGTACAAATAAAATGTTCACGTTTCTCCAACGTTGTCTTCCCAACAGTTTCACTGGATGGCCAGGAAGCGTTTGCGATGTCTTCTCGGGCGCTTCTCCGGTGCTGATAATTGGCGTCTGTCTTGTGTCGGTGACATAAAAGACGGATTTAATGCGACATGACTATTCAAACAGCAGTCGCTTTCTAAAACATCGGATATGCATCGGATTCAGTACCACATATGAAAGTGACCCAGATCGGATTTGAAAATATCGGATTTGTGCCGTTCACACTGTCACACCATGATCGGATATGGGTCGCATAGGGTCAAAAACATCGGATTTGATGCGCTTTCGCCTGCAGTGTGAACGTAGCCTAAGTTTCTAGTTTTTCTTTTATAAATTTTAAAATGTCACTGTTTGAAAACCATCCATCCATGATGCAGGGCTTTTGAAAACCATAAAAGATATAACAAAACTAGTAATACCTTAATGGTGTTGGGACCGGTTTAAAGTTTTTTCTCTAGCTCAAAGTATGCGGAACTAGTTACGTTTCAAAGTAGGGTGGGTTTAAAGAGGATTAGAAGATTTTTCCATTTCATTCAAACCAACAAATAAAACTCATAAAAAGAACGGTTTCCGTAGCACAAAGTATACAGAAGTAGTTAAGTGCCAAAAAAGTGCAGAGGGTTTTAGTTATGTGAAATGCTTAAACAGCATTCACATTATTTATTTACAGGGATTGATGGAACAGAAGATCAGGCAGCTGGGGGGAGGAAGAAGCTTTTATAAAGGTTAAATAAATGCGCTGCACTGTCAGCAGAGAGGTGCACGAGTCGCTCGGCTCCGGCTCTTATTTTTTAACTCATCAGATGCAGTTTCTTTTTCAGAAACCAGAATTTCTAATGGGATTCCCACCGTCTGCGGCGGTGGTTGTTATGGTCAGCTCACAGTGTGAGGGCAATCTGACTCGTCTCTGTGCCACGCTGAAACCTGCGCGCAGAGATTAGCTGCTGCATTCATTAATTCGCGCAGCGCCCTTGTATCTGGCGTAATCGTCGTCATGTGTTTGTGTGAATTTTCCTGCAGAGATCAGGTTCACGGTTTTGCTCTGCTGTTCCTGCACAAGGTAAACAGCACACCAAGAATTCTGCTGAAGCCTCTGCTCTATCATTACTGAGCAGCAGTGGTGGAAGATAATAAAGTGTATTTACCCAGGTACTGCTTTTGTGGTGCTTTTATTTCCCTTTTGTCTGCAGCTATAGCGTTGTTTGAAGAGCAAAGGCTTTTCCTTTTTTAACCTCTCAAAGAAAAAGTAAACCGTTCTGCTCTGCTAGTTAAAACTTGTTTCTGTTGACGTCTCTGCAGTTCTTCACATTCACTTACATTCTTTTTGTTCTGATTTATTGAGTTTGACTGTGCCTAATTATGTGCACTTGCACTAGCGAACAGTAACAGTCTGGAACGGTGTTTGATTTGGATCTGATGCTCGCTCCCAAACTTGATTACCTGGTTTATCCAGTTCTTCTTTGTTTACTATGTGGCATGCCAGCAGTGGTTTGTGGGTTGCTGGGAGGGAGGGCTCACATAGTATGGAAGAAGCTTACAGCTTATGATCATTTGGATGCTTTTCAGTTTTCATGCATTTGTTTGTCACATTTTATTGTACAAAGTTAGGAAATCTGTGTTTAAGTGGAGCCACATGTTTCCGTATGTGTAAAGAATGAATCCCAGCCACCTCCTCATAGTAATTGATACAGATCATTCATTTTATCATGGGTGTTGGCTCAGTACTGGGAAAAGTTGGATCAGTGTCTTTAACTTGCACGGTGCAATAAGTTTCATGTACATTTGCTTGAATTATTTATTTAGATAAATATTCATTTAAAGGTTCTGCTCTTTAAATATTTTAATAGTCCAGTATAGAATAAATTAGACCATAATGCAGAGTCTTTACTCTGGGACTGGAGTGCAGCTCCACAGTGACGCACCGCAGCAAGCTCGGGAAGATGGAGCCCAGTCTAGAGGAGTCAGAGCTAGTTAGCAGTAACTGGACTTTCAAAATAAGAGCGAGGGGATTAGCTAGTGATAAGCTGAACATGGATGGTGGCGTCCCCTTGGATGCATAAAAAAATACACATCCAAGAAAAAAATTTAAGATATTTAATATATTTGGGTGGGTTATCCCGTCCAGGGTCAGGTCACGCTGTGTGCTGATTGGTGATTCTGTGAATCCTGTGATTGTGCTGAAGGTCAAGGTCACATTTGTCACTTCACATAATAACCTGTGAATCAAGATGGCCAGATGAGCTACTGCGCCTGCTTTCAAAATGTGGACATGTATATTATCGCACTCTGACCACATCACATCCCTCTCTCACAGCGGTGACCATCCCACTATAGAGGTCAGCTTTTTATTGCTGCCAACAACAAATAACTGTAAACAAACTGTAAATACTGCTAAAAACCAATAATAATCTTCAGCGTTATCATTAACATTAATAAGGGCTTCACATCCTCCTCCGAGTATCCCTGGTCCTCCGTGTGTCAGATTCATGCTGACACCACAGTGGCTGTACTGAGTGCCTGTGAGCTGATGTCAGCAGTGAACCCTCCTCATTGCTCTGTTTTTCTCTCCTCACCCTTGGTTACCATTGATGAAAGGTCTCACCATGGCGATGGTTTCCAAGGTGTTCGATAGGTTAGTTGTGTACCAGGTCAGCCAATGGTAATGAGGTTCATTTCCATGGCTGACAGGCATCTCCCTCTGTGTAATCTGTTTAATGTTGACCTTCTCAGAGGAGTCTCTCTCTGGCTTCTGCTGGAGAGTACTCATTCTCTTAAATCCCCTGACTGTGTGATTGTGTCTGACAGTCAGAAAGTATTACACTCCGAGGCTTTAAGCAAGTTTCAGCTTTAAAATGACTTATTATTTCCTCGTAAAACTGTGGCAGATTATTTTTCTGTTGTGATTTTATACCGTAAACTGATGTTTGTTTCAGGTGAGCTGGCCCACCTGTGCTCTCACCTGTCATTCATTACTCTGATGACCTGTTTGGTTTCCTGCAGCAGTTTTACGCTGAGCTTTATGCTGGATTTCTGACTGGAAACCATAGTCTCCATTATTTTAATCAGTCTTAAGTAACTGATTTAATAAACATGATTCTTCTTCAAAAATTGACAGATGAAAAATTGGGCACAGAAAGGAGCGGTGTGATATGCTGGCTAATCTGTAAGCGAGTTGAAGCCAGTGTAGCAGATGGTTTTGAATGTAAAGCACATCTCCCAGGATTGATCGCTGTTTCCTTCTGGGTTGCATCCTCCACTTGGGATGCAGACGGAGCCAACAAGGTGTTCGGGGGGCAGCAGACTGCGTAGCAGCCGTGCAGACGGTGACACTTGTGCTCCTCGTCTTTTTTATTATTTTTATTTTTTTGTTTGTTTGTTTTTGTAGGCTTGCGTGTGGCGCGCCTGGGAATGCCCGGGAGTGTAGATGTAAAGCAAAGTTTTGCCTCACATGTCTCCTTCAAATACAGTTGCTGAAGTGTTTTTAGAATATTTTGAAATCTTAAATATTTATTCCTGCCAGCCAGTGAAAGAACTCCTTTCTTCCAAAGTATAACTAATAGCTGGATTTAAGTGGCATTTAAGTGGTTATTCAGCTGCCCATAAATGACTATAATAAGCATGGTCTTTATTTTTGAAACAATCCTCAACTGTCTGTCCGTGTCCTCAGCGATGGACCCGTCCATCACGCTGTGGCAGTTCCTGCTTCATCTGTTGGAGGACCAGCGGCAGCGTCACCTGATCTCCTGGACAAGTGAGGACGGCGAGTTCAAGCTGCTAGACGCCGAGGAGGTGGCCCGCCTGTGGGGGCTCCGCAAGAACAAGCACAACATGAACTACGACAAACTGAGCCGGGCACTGAGATACTACTACGACAAGGTACTGCTGATAATACTACTGTTACTGCAGCAAAACGAGTACTACGTTACCTCCAGGTCGGCAGGCTCACCATTTTTTCCCCCTCTTTCAGAATATCATAAAGAAGGTGAGCGGCCAGAAGTTTGTCTATAAGTTTGTAAGTCAGCCTGACCCCTCCCTCCCCGATGGGATACGCAGTATAGAGGAGGGCCAGAGGAGGGACGTCAGCGACTCAAACAACCAATCAAAAAGCCTTGGGGGCGTGGCACCAACTTGTCCGACAAAGGGCTTGCCCCAGGTACGTCCACACTTCCTTTGTTTCCTACAGGGTGTTATGAATAATTGGCTGATTGCTTTTTTTCTTTCTTTGCGTCTGTCTGCGTGGATCACCAGCGCTCGTCACCCAGCAGCTCCCAGAAGAGCTCCAGAAACGACTACATGAAGTCCGGCCTCTACTCCACCTTCACCATCCAATCCCTGCAGGCCTCACCCAATCCACGGCCAATCAAATCAGAGCTCCTCCTGCAACAAGAGCCTGTCCCCAAAGTTGATCGCACACCGAGAGAGGTAAAAAGAGTTAAATGTTACCCCCTGACCCCTCTGTGCACTTCATAATAATAATAATAATAATTCAGCGCAGCTGCTGGACTTTGTGTTTCACACTGCTTGAGGTTGTGCAGCTAACATTTTTTTGTTATTTAATTCCTGTGATTTATGCAGGTTGTGAAAGGATTTGCTTTTTTTTTTTTTTGCAAACGTATTTATTTTACCAGAGGAGGACCTAGTCACAGTTAATAAGTGACCTGCTTCTGAAGTTGATCCAGAGTCACATCACAGCAAAATTGAACAGAAAAACGAGGTGCTGTTCATAGGAAATATTAGACACTTGTTTTCACATCACTGTCTTTGTACATTTAAGCAGTGAAAATTTAATCTTGTTGGGCTCCTAATGCCAGTCTATGCACAGATAGATGGTAAATGGCCTGTATTTGTATAGCACTTTACTTAGTCAACGACCAGGACAGAGAGAGCAGGGGGTCGAACCGGCAACCTTCCGATTACAAGACAAACTGCCAACTCTTGAGCCACGATCGCCTCACAGCGCTTGAGCCCCATAGATAGATGGGGCTGGTTGTGTCTTCAATGACATTTGGTTAGAGTCTTTGTCAAATCAGTGTATTCTTCTTGTTATCGTTAACTTCACCCATCTTGAGGGTCGTAGTCATTATAAGTTGATTAGGGGTAAAAGCAATATTTAGCTTTTTCTCCTGTTAATGTATTATTTCTTTTTTTAAACGCTTTTTTTTCTTATCTATTTTTCAAATGGATCTCTAATACACTTTTTCTTCCTGACCCTTGCGCTGCCGTGCCATGTCTATGTCTGTGCCATATGACGAACACACGCATGTGCACATGCACTATTTGTGGCAATCAGCTGCTCTAACTCCAGGCCTTTTTTGGCGTGTCCTCCTCCTCAGGTGTGTGTGTTACCGGAGTCTAAATCCTCTCCGTCCGTGGGGAGCGCTGCGGACTCTGTTCTCCAGGTCATCGTCACTCAGACGTCTCCCTGTCCGACCCCGGCTCTCAGCCCACAGATACCAGCCAACTCCAATGGCCAATCACAGGTCAGTAAAAAGTCACGCCTGGTACTTGGTTACTTGTCCGAGAACACCTAAAGCTGGACAGACACTGTGCGATGAGAAGTTCGTAGGTCACGACGCAGGGTCTCACACTATACGGCCTGATGCTCTGATATGGCCTGATGCTCACGCTGTGCGTCCATAAAATGAAGGTTATAACAGAAAATCTGTCGCTCGCTCTCCCTCTCTGTCTTTCACACACACACACACACACACACACACACACACACACACACACAGGCTGCAGTGACGCCCTCAGGACGGCGACAGGATTTCAAACAGGTTTGATTTTCTTACGACCAAACGATTGATGATCGGGAGCTGGTCGTGAGGTGTTTATCGCTTCTCGTTACCTCACGTATACTACACGATACACGATGAAGGCGAAATTCGGGCCGATCACCAAAACGGTCGCACGACTAAAAAATCGGCTCAAAATGAGCCAAAAATCGCACTGTGCATGCCCAGCATTAGATGACTATGAGATATCTCTGCTCTCAGTGACATCGTACAGATCCAAGAGTAGAAAAAACTACTTTAAACGAAGCCTGTTTTTGACTCACAGGGGTTACTTGTACGTCTACTGAAGTCATTATTTGCACCTTTGTCAGTATTCAGTATGAACATCCACCACTGGAACGTTATAAATATGATGGAAAATAACATCGTTCTCGTCTCTGGTTGACATTCCCAGAATCCTCCTGCTGCTCCGCTGAGCGACCCTCCCCAGATTTATCTCACCAACATGGGGGACCCGTCCACCCTCATCACTCTCGGAGGGGGCACGGTGAGCCCCGTCCCCCCTCCTCATGTCTCAATGGGCACACAGGGCCCACAGCAGGAGGATTGTGGGGGCCTTACCAACCCCACCAACTTCCCCTCGCACCACCCGCATGCTGCTCCTCATCAGTCTCACCCTGCCCCTGTGTTCGTTATTATCAACCCACCTCCCAATCAGCAGCAGCAACAGGTGCCGATGACGACTGCTGCTCCTCCTCCCTCTGTCGCTCTTCCTCCCACCGCCCGTCCTCCACCCATCGTCATCAAGGAGGAGAATCTGCCGTCAGAGCAGGAGCTGCTGGAGATGGTGACACTGGATGGGAAACGGGTGGAGGAGGTAAGAGGAGGAGGAAATTCTGGGTTTTTAATAAAAGTTTAACAGAAACATGGTGCTAAGGTGGTGCCCTGTGCTCTTCCATCCAGGTTCCTCAGCTGATCTGTGACTCGGGAGAGCCAGAGCCTCCCCCCACCATTGTGGAAAGCCCGCCCCCGCCCTGCATTGATGCCGGGGTTGGAGTTCAGCAGCCAGCAGAGGAGGAGAGGACAGAGGGTGAGGGCCAGGACACGCTAACAGGTGACAGGAAAGCATTTTAGATGATCTCCCTGATTGAGGAAAGGGTTTTTCTTCCCTCTCTGGGTGGAGCCCACCGAGACCGCCTTTTTATGTCTATTCCCATAATTCATTAGATTTCATTCCTGCGATTTGTTTCCTTCAGATCCAGTCATCCCCCCGGTGACGACGTCCTTGCCGGTGACCTCTCCAGCAGCTTCATCCTCGGACGCCGTTCCTCCGAAACAAAAGAAGCCACGAGGCCTGGAGCTACCCTCCTCTCCCTCCCTGCCCCCCGGCCTCTCCCTCGATAAGGTCTGCAACACTGCTGGTCACTTTACTAAACATCACATGTAAAAGTTCAGATGTGCTTTACAAACATAAAAAAAATATTTAAAACAGAAAGTCAGGAAGACAAAGTCTGAGGTCAGTAAACTATGGCTGCTATGGGTTGCTATGACATAAAATCAAATGTCATAGCAACCGGCGGGATAAGTGACTGGTCAAAACAGTTACAGTCACCTTTTCACCTCTGCTTTGATACCAGGCTCATCATCTAGCTGTGAATCCCTCAAAGACATTTTCTCATATAGTCATGTTTTAACATTGGAAAAATGCAGGTTTTGGTTGTGAAATGGAGAAACATCACTATGTGTGCTATGTAACAACTTGAACGTTAGACATTTATCAGATAAATTGAAGTTTCCAGAATCCTTTGAGTCTGTGATGTGAGTCTCACAGCACTTAAATAAAACGTCCAGGACGAAAAGCTTTTAGCTTTTTCTCTTAAAGCTTTTAGCCGCTCTGGATGTGTTCGTTTTCTTTTCTTTAAACATCAGCAGCACATACTGCAAATGTAAATGATTATAAGACAACTTCAGAATACAACAAGATTAGGTGTAACCACAAATTTATAACATATATCCTGCTAACAAAGAGTAAAAGTCCATATATATTTTATTGTACACATTGTAATACATATTTTTAAAGTGGCAGTGGATCTACTACAAATGACAACAAATAACAGGAATATGCAGAGACTACTGTTAAGACAGTAACAAAAATTAATTGCCAGTCATGCAGAAGTCCGTGGCCACCCCCACAGAGGCTCATTTTAACTCTGTAAAAACCCAGATATTTCCACTTCTGCATAAATAATCACTTTAAATATCTTTTATTGATTTAGGTTTTATTAAAAGGATCTTAAATAGGGACACAGCTGGGCAGTTATTTCTGTCAAAAGCAAAGCGACATCAGCAGAAAGATGTCGATGCTGTTAACAAAGTATGAAACAGTCGGAACATGCACTCCTTTCCACACGGCAGGAAACGACACTGCCAGCCTGCCCACTGGCACTGACCGACTCTTCTTCACAGCTTTTGGACTCGAGTGTCGTTTGCTGTGTGGAGTCTGTGCGCTGACTCTGCAGGAGGAAAGGATGGCACCAGAGTCAGGGAGCGATAGGACACGCCCACACAAAGCAGGCCTGCTACGCCCAGAACGTGTTGTTTAACAAACAAATAATTTAAGTAGAGAGTTTAGTCCTCGGTGATCGTTTTAAAGAGCTCTAAAGTCTTGAATATTGTAGTAAAGCTGTGTAAGTTTTCGGGTTGCCAAAAATGTTTTTATCCAGGAAAACCCTGAAGATATTTTGTGTGCTGCGTCCTCGAGTCCTTATCATGAGCGCACCAAGATGAATGTGACACGTAAACAAAAATCTTCTCCACAGTCCATGATTCATAAGTTTAATCATTCTGCAGTCTGTTTGTTAGCTCTGTGACACACTTCTAATCGACTGATAGGTTTGCTGAAATCTCACAGCGTGTAGGCGCTTTCACCCTGAACTCTAACTCCGTGTGAGCCTTGGCAGTCACAAGATTAAATAAAAATCCAAAAACACATCAGAGCTTTTAACATTTTTATTTATTTTCTCCAAACTATGGGATTATAGGGATTTATATATATTGTGTATATGTGCAAGTGTATGAGTGAATGATCGTGCTGTGTTTAGAGGTAAACGTGTGCTGTTGCTTCCTGTTCCTTCTGCAGGTGAATGCAGCAGTTAACAGTTTATTGGCTCCTGGATCAGCGACCAACACGCTCACCCCGACTGTCATCACCTCCCACGCCCTGGTAAACACTCGCTTGTCTATGTGTGGCACACGTGTCTTTATTCATATAGGCGTCTGTTCGCAACTTGGAGGATTGTGTCGTTCTAGCAGCGATCCTCTTTGCATCGCTGCTGCTGACAACAAGTTGACACGAAACACTTTCCTCTACAGCACCACAGACCTTGAATTCCCTGGAACGTCACTTATCTGTTGTTTTGTCTATAGCTGTTTGTTTAAATTATCTTTATTTCAAATCACGTAACACACAGCAGACTGTGAGAGTTTAGTGTAGAAAACTCGCTCTGCAGGCCTACTTGTTGTTCCTAGAGTATTTAAAAGTAGAACAAGAGGCAGAGCCTTCAGTTTTCAGGCCCCTCTTCTATGGAACCAGCTTCCAGTTTGGATTCAGGAGACAGACACTATAAGCATAAAGTTAGGGCTGGACCAGGTGACCCTGAATCCTTCCTTAGTTATGCTGCAATAGACGTAGGCTGCCAGGGATTCCCATGATGCATTGAGTGTTTCTTCTTCAGTCACCTTTCTCACTCACTATGTGTTTATACACCTCTCTGCATTTAATTGTAAGTTATTATTAACCTCTGTCTCTCTTCCACTGCTTGTCTTTATCCTGTCTTCCTTCTCTCACCCCAACCGGTCGCAGCAGGCGGGGCGCCCCTCCCTGAGCCTGGTTGTGCTGGAGGTTTCTTCCTGTTAAAAGGGAGTTTTTCCTTCCCACTGTCGCCAAAGCGCTTGCTCATAGGTGGCAAGCCTATGAGCAAGCCTGTCCATCAGCTAAAAGGATGGCACATTGAATTCAAACATTTTCATTAAGAACTTGTTCTTGTTCACTCTAAAACAAATTTAGAGTATATGCACATATGAAGACTTTCAAGTTTAAGTTTAACTGGCTGAGATCAGATTGAGCTCTGGTTTAGTCCATTGTTCAGTTAACCTTCATCTGAAATGCTGCATTGATATTAAAGCTTGTTTTGATGAGTCATTCTTCCTGTTTTTGATTTGTTCTGCAGTGTCAGGAGTTCTTGAATTAAAGCTTCTTCTTTTTTTTCTTTTTTTAAACATTTTCTGTCTTTAAATGTGTCATCTGCATTTGTAGAGCGGCTGATAGGAACAAACTGCATTCCTTCCACAGAAAGGAATAAAGACGGATTTCACTGTTAGATACTCTGACTTGTTGATGTAAACAGAACTGAATCTGGTTGGGACGTCCACACAGGAAGTTGAATCATTTGTCAATTGTTTTTCCTTGAAATGTTCGTTCCTGTCAAACACTCTTGGATGTTTCTGTCCATTTATCCTTCCAGACTCCGGTCCTGTTGACGCCCAGCCCTCTTCCCTCCACCATCCACTTCTGGAGCACGCTCAGTCCCATCGCTCCTCGATCGCCAGCTAAACTTTCCTTCCAGGTAATAAATACACTGAGCCCACTGCATGCAGTTCCAACATCCTGAAACACAAATCCACAAACAAATGGACGATAACAAGTGCGACAAAATTCACTTCAGTACCAAAACTCCTTCACAGTAAAATCCTTTAATCAGCTGGAAACATGTGCAGGAACTAAAAGACAATATTGTTTTGGTGAAAGAGAAAAGAATCAGTCTGCAGGTGAAGTTTGTGGTGAAAACTGAAAGAAAAAAGTGTTCAGAGCTGGTTCTCAGAATAAGATACTCGTCTTTTAAAATATAATCTGTCGGTTGTTCATTTGCAGAGCTCACACTGAACCTTACCTTACAGCCACATAATGCTTTGGTCTTTGTCTGTATGCAGGTTTGGTAAATGAAACCACAGCTTCAGTTTCACAGAAAATTCACACGTTTGTGCAGCAAGTTTGCAGTTCTGCTTGTCGCTTCACGCACGCCGTCATGCACACTGGTTCACGTTCAATACATCAGCAGCTGTTAGTTGGGAAGTTTAGACACTTAGATGCTCATTTACACCAGAAGTGAAATCCTACTGCCTGTGGTGATCCGCTTCATTCCTTCTGCAACAATTCATGTCTCAGTCTGCGCTGAAAAGATCATTTTAGAGGCCGTCTGTCATCATTATCGTCCCTTTATCTCTGTGTGCATGTTTTCTGTTGAGTTTGTCATTAAATAAGTTTTCACCGAAATATTTTTCTGCAGCCAAGTTTTAAACAAATATAAACATAAAAGCAGAAAAATTCTCTTATTTCCCTAAGGCTGTGTTTTCACAGCCCGGCGTAGAAATGAGTGGTTAAAAGCATAAACTGTATAAAAGATGGACGTAGCCACCATCATGTCACCCTTTGGTTTTGGGTTCTGCAGCAAGCTGCAGCTACAGACTGTATGGGTGCATCACACACAGACACCGGCTAATTAGTGCAACAAAACAGAACCACAAACTTCTTGCAGGAGCCGTACTGTAGAATACAGGGAGTGCAGAATTATTAGGCAAGTTGTATTTTTGAGGAATAATGTTATTATTGAACAACAACCATGTTCTCAATGAAGCAAAAAAAAACTCATAAATATCAAAGCTGAATGTTTTTGGAAGTAGTTTTTAGTTTGTTTTTAGTTTTAGCTATTTTAGGGGGATATCTGTGTGTGCAGGTGACTATTACTGTGCATAATTATTAGGCAACTTGACAAAAAACAAATATATACCCATTTCAATTATTTATTTTTACCAGTGAAACCAATATAACATCTCCACATTCACAAATATACATTTCTGACATTCAAAAACAAAACAAAAACAAATCAGCGACCAATATAGCCACCTTTCTTTGCAAGGACACTCAAAAGCCTGCCATCCATGGATTCTGTCAGTGTTTTGATCTGTTCACCATCAACATTGCGTGCAGCAGCAACCACAGCCTCCCAGACACTGTTCAGAGAGGTGTACTGTTGTCCCTCCTTGTAAATCTCACATTTGATGATGGACCACAGGTTCTCAATGGGGTTCAGATCAGGTGAACAAGGAGGCCATGTCATTAGTTTTTCTTCTTTTATACCCTTTCTTGCAGCCACGCTGTGGAGTACTTGGACGCGTGTGATGGAGCATTGTCCTGCATGAGAATCATGTTTTTCTTGAAGGATGCAGACTTCTTCCTGTACCACTGCTTGAAGAAGGTGTCTTCCAGAAACTGGCAGTAGGACTGGGAGTTGAGCTTGACTCCATCCTCAACCCGAAAAGGCCCCACAAGCTCATCTTTGATGATACCAGCCCAAACCAGTACTCCACCTCCACCTTGCTGGCGTCTGAGTCGGACTGGAGCTCTCTGCCCTTTACCAAACCAGCCACGGGCCCATCCATCTGGCCCATCAAGACTCACTCTCATTTCATCAGTCCATAAAACCTTAGAAAAACCAGTCTTGAGATATTTCTTGGCCCAGTCTTGACGTTTCAGCTTGTGTGTCTTGTTCAGTGGTGGTCGTCTTTCAGCCTTTCTTACCTTGGCCATGTCTCTGAGTATTGCACACCTTGTGCTTTTGGGCACTCCAGTGATGTTGCAGCTCTGAAATATGGCCAAACTGGTGGCAAGTGGCATCTTGGCAGCTGCACGCTTGACTTTTCTCAGTTCATGGGCAGTTATTTTGCGCCTTGGTTTTTCCACACGCTTCTTGCGACCCTGTTGACTATTTTGAATGAAACGCTTGATTGTTTGATGATCACGCTTCAGAAGCTTTGCAATTTTGAGACTGCTGCATCCCTCTGCAAGATATCTCACTATTTTTGACTTTTCTGAGCCTGTCAAGTCCTTCTTTTGACCCATTTTGCCAAAGGAAAGGACGTTGCCTAATAATTATGCACACCTGATCTAGGGTGTTGATGTCATTAGACCACACCCCTTCTCATTACAGAGATGCACATCACCTAATATGCTTAATTGGTAGTAGGCTTTCGAGCCTATACAGCTTGGAGTAAGACAACATGCATGAAGAGGATGATGTGGACAAAATACTCATTTGCCTAATAATTCTGCACTCCCTGTAGAAAGCCTTTATCGCCATTGTACATAAGACATATCCAAGATTTGGTGAAATATTCTGTACAGTGCAAAAACATTGAAGTAGAAAAATGAGAGAAAACAATGAAAGCTTATAAAACTATGTAAAGAATAAAGGCTGCTATAAAGAAGACACACACACATATTAAGGATTCACCATTCACTGTTGAACTTCACATTAGTTGCTAAATAATCATTTGTTTTGTTTATTTATAGGAGCTCAAATTTGTGATAGCTCAAGGGAAAAAACTGAGTTTGTTTTACCCGGCGCTTGGTGCACCTGTGCTGCAGGGCAGGAGGTTGAACAGTTAGATGTCCAAGGTGAAAAGGGTCTTAAATTATTTTCCTCGCCCCGCTGAGACACCAAGATCTGGAGATGTCCTCCAGGGAGGGCAATGTGCAGCCGGTGGTTCTCTGGGAAGTGTTGATGGACGTCTGCACTGAGCAGGTCCCACACTGTGATGCATTCACTGCCTGTTCAGTTGTTATGAAGGTGGAAAATATTCATAGAGGCCCAAAAGGGATTTTGCACCAGGCTGTAAACATGCCTTTTAATGCTGTAAAGTTGTGCATTTTAACATGGGAGTCTGTGCGTTAACACACTTTCAGAACGAGTAAGTCAACTGTATGAAGCAACAACTGTCGCTCGCTCATGAAAACTGACTCGCCTTCAATTTACTGAGCGATAAAATGACACGATGAAGCATCAGCGTAGCATCAGTCATATGTTCAGTGGAGACTCTGTAGCATGGTGTCCGGCCACACTGGCTTTATGTAGTGAAATTAGAAGACGATTTATGGATGACCATCATTGATGGGAGGCCCTTATCTTTACTTATTTGGCATTGAAGAGGAAAGCATCATCACAGAATCACCAAAGTATAAAAACTGGTTTTCAGGACACAAGCTCCTCTACCACAAGCACACACACACACACACACACTGCTACTGTGCACTGCGGGTACCTGAATCTGATCCAGGGTGCCTGCACGCACACACATACACACACGCAAACACACACATATACTATGTGAGGACTCGTATTGACGTCAGCCTTAATCTGAATATAGTTCTAAACATGAATCCTAAATCCAGGTGTAAACCCTTTAAACCTGAAGGTCTCAATCAAAGTGAGGAGGGGCGTCCTCGCATGATCTAAGATACACACAAGTCCCCACATTGATAGATGAACGAGAATACACAGAGCTGGTTTGTGTGTCTGCAGGTTTCTGGCCCAGCTTGAAGTCCGTCTGTTATCTGTTATTAAAGGTTCAGTTCACTCAGTGCATAAACAGCAGCACATTCTGAGTCTTCTCTCTGACGGAGTCGTAATAATGATTATAATGCACTAAAATACACTGCACATTATCTCGTTACAATGGGACCTGTCAGGATGTGGGTTATATTAGACAGCCGTTGAACAGGGAGCGCTTGAAGCTGATGTGTTGGAGGCAGGAAGGATGGGCGGTGCGAGGATCTAGGCCAAAAAATGTTTTAAAAAGAAGAGGGAAAAGCTTCAAATGTTAAATATTTTTTAATGTTTGCATGCCTGTGTGCACAGTTGGGTAGTTTAAGCATTTATTTGTCTATAACTAGTATCATTAAGTCATTTCGTCCTGTGTTCTGAAACAAAGGTGTTAAGTTTTCTCTGCTGTTTGTATCGTGACGCTGTGATACTTTGTCGCCTCCTTGTGGTGCAGCTAAAAACTGCAGGCTGTGAAAACCCTGCAGCTTCTCAGTAACATCTTTCATGACCTGCTAGAAAAAGCTGTGTTTTAACCCATTTTAACTCTTCAGTAACGGAAAAAGTGTTCAGCTGGTTTTTTACATTGTAAGATGAGGATTTGGGCTACAAGTGTGAAGAAACCAAAAGGAGAGTTTTTAAGCGTTCTGTGTCCGAGCGGAAATGTTCAAATATGAAAGATTTTCCACCATGTGCTCACCAGACCTCAGTGATCTAGTGAGACTATAAATAAATATCTGTTATTTAAACAGGTTGCCTCTTTATCAAGACAGACCAGTGTACAAGGGCAAAGTGTGCAGTTTTAGAGCAGGCAGAGGTACAGGTAACCCTTGAGGCCTGAGATTATGAGTACTACATTAAAAATGTAAGTAAAGAACAGGTAAACCAGGCAGGCTTAAATCATAGTAAGTACCCCTGAGTCCTGGGTTTCTCAGGGTTATGTCTGTATTTTAAGTAAATGAAGTGTCAGAATATTTTTTCAGCTTCCATCACGTGCCCAGTGGGACTTTACAGAGTTTACAGACACTGTTTGGGAGTTTTGCTTTTATATAGTTTAACCATTTCAAGTACTTTTCTCCAGAGACTCAAATGTTCGACCTTTAATCTGAAGACAAAGTGTTTAATTTGAGTCATTGTGTGATGTGTTATTCTTGGAAAAACGTAATGAGACGAGATAAACTGCAAGATCGCAAATCTCCACCAAGACACCTCAGTCTCTGGGCACGATTTACTTTTAAGGGAATAGTGTTTGTATTTTGTATGCAAACATTGTTTAAGAGCAGCATGAATAACACCAACTTATGATGTAACATTATGCTACAGTTTATTTCTAACTAGGCAGCTCATTCTCGTTTTCTTGACTATATTTTAAAGATATAAAATATTTATAGGTCAACTTGAAAGAAACCCAGATGTGTGAGGTCAGAGGTCAAATGTGACATGATACTTTAAATTTTAATATGTTACTTTAACACACACCACACTTGTAAGAATCATGGTTTCTAAGTTGAGGCGGTTTTCAACCAATAAATAAATAAAAGACTGCAGAACCAAATTTTAATGGATTGTTAACATCAAAACTTTATTCAAAGCGTTTGTGTTTACAGATAAAATGGCATGCAGGCATAAAAAGGAATCAGTTACACATTCTTCCGTCAATGTGCAAACCTTAAAGTGTTCAGAAGCGACGGGCTCAGTTTGCTTAAAAATGCCTTAAATGTCCTAGAATCGGTAAATTGGCTACTGAGGAAGAAAAATAATTCATAAACCTCATCAGTGTGCATCATGTTCTACAGAAAGACAAAAAAGAAAGTGAAGCTGAAAAACAGCTGATTTTTACCAAGTTGGCAGGATATTTTCTAACATTCCTTCAAAATAAAACGTCAAGTTTTCATCTTCACTGTCTCTTTCTGTCTCTTCTCAGTTTCCCTCTAACGGCAGTAATCAGATCCACATCCCGGCTCTGAGCGTCGACGGCCTCTCCACCCCCGTGGTCCTCTCCCCGGGGCCCCAGAAGCCCTGAGCTCCCCGCCCGCCTGAAGCAGCTCTTCACCGGGCACAACCTCGCCCAATGATCTCCTCAACTCCTGGAGGGTCGGAGGAAAAGCCGGATCTGCACTGACTCTGAAATGCATCACTAAAAACCCGACGCCATGAGAAGTTTAGGCTGCATCGGCTGACTCTTTTTGGGTAGGTGTCATGGTTTGTGTGGGCCTTTCTCTGGTGGACGCGTTCACAGCCGAGGATCAGTCAGACCCTCCGCTGATTCTTACACTTTCCAACAGGTGGGAATCTGCGCTTTGTCCTCCTTCCACCTTCCTGTTTCTTTCATAGCTTTGTACTCAAACACTATGACAGCGGGGTTTCGAGAGAACCAGATGCTTCTCTCGACTTGAACCCGACACGAGGACATAAACGGCAACTAAAGGCCACGAGGAGACGGAGGGATGTTTTTCTCTTTTTCTACTGGTGTTTTTTAAACCTGTCGTTGGATTTCTTTCTATAATATTGTGAGGTCTTTACCTTGCGATGCAAAAGTGCTCTGACGTGACTGTTGTCAAATAAAACAGCTTAACCTTGAAGATGGCTTTTATAGCCGGTCTGCTTACTGAAAACTGACAGCAAACAAATGTCTGTTTTCAAACGGTTTCTTCAGTGTGTGACGGAGGGGAACCGGAGAAAAGCTGGAGCCGTCTCTTATTTGAGTTTTTACTAAACAGAAGATTTGACTTGACGTTTTCTGGGAGTAACTGATCGCGGACTGGAAGGAGGGAACGTTCACATGTTTGTGTGTAAAAGGATCTGCAGTTCCTCATAATCTCACATTTTTTCTGATGGGATCTTTTGTTTTTTAAATTCGAGGTTATTTATTTCTGTCTTGTTTTCAATGCACCTTTCTCTGCAGATTCCTTAAAGGTTCTTGACTGTTTTTAAAACAGTCTCATCTTTTTTTCCCTCATTTTTTAAGCTACCAGGCGACTCTCTCCCAGTTGGAATTTAATTTCAGCACCAACACTGACATTTTATAAACTCACCTTCTGCTGGATTTCGTCAGAAACGACTTTCAGAGCCATTTAAGGGTTGTTGCTTTGCTCTTACTGGCCGATTTTAAAGGTCACGCCTTTCTCTGGTTCTGCATGGCCTGTTTTTTTTGTTTTTGGTTGTTTATTGTTTGTTTTGTTTCGAGTGGACTCCTCAGCAGCATTTCGAACTGACCAATCACAAAGGATGAAGATGACGGTGGACCTGAGGTTTTTCAAAGCCAAGTTCTTTCTCTATAAAAGTGTCTAAATGTGACAGATTGTATATTTTCTCACAGAGTTTAATGTCCAAACTGAACTGAAGTGTCTGTCAGACTTGATTTAAAGGTTTTACCGAGGACAGAGTCACATTCCTTTGGTTTTTAAAACAGTGATAGATGAGTTTGCGTTACTTATTAACAACTGCTTATTGTTTGAATCTCAGCAGTCATTCCAGAGATTTTATTTGAGCAGCTCTGAAAAATAAATGTTTTGTTCCAAAAGCCTTGGAACAAATCTGCAGTCATGTTGCCACAAGTTGAAAGAGTCGCATTTATTCTCCTTTCACTGAGAGTGTAGGATAGCCTTTAATATATTGAAAGCTTTTTCCGTGCAAAAACCAACAACAAAGGACCGAGTTTAATGACACTCTGTCATACTGGGGCTTATGATTGAAACATTTCAAATAATTTGATCAATTTGTGTTTAATAAAGCACCAAAAACCATAAAAAACATAAATTCTCCAACATCCAAGTCAAAGTCTACGTCCTCATTTTGTACAAACATCAGCACAACATTTCAAAATTAAAAAGGCATTAGAAAAGCATCAGATGGTCTTTAGTGTCAACCTTGGAACAAGATGACTAAGAAAATGTTTTTTTTCCTTTATGGCTTAAACGCGTATTTAATTGGATCTCTGAAGACATCCTTGATGGCAGGGGCTGATTTATCTGTTTATCTGTGTGTGAAAAAAATTTAGTTCTCTGAAATTTAAATAAAAACTAAACTTTCAGATAAAATACAAATACACAGGAACTGGCTCTAACTTTAGTCTTTGTCAGTTTGGTAAAATTTGCTCTCAGAGTTGAACTTAAACTCCTCGAGGTCATAAATAATCTGACCACATCAAATGTCAACGACCTCGTAGTACCATGTAATCCCATCACAACACCTTACTCTCAGACTGCTGGCTTACTTCTGTTTACTGAGTTTCTAAAATTTAGAGTGAGAGGCACAGCCTTCGGTGTTCAGGCTAATCTCCACTTTCAGACTCTCTCAGCTTTGCTGCTGTAGGCTCAGCCTGCTGGAGGACTTCCCATGATGCACTGAGAGTTCCTTCTCCTCTCCCACCTCTTCACTCCCTGCTGCAGATCGCAACGTTTTCTTTCTTGATTCTCGGGTGACGTATACGTCTGCCCCTCCCTCAGCCTGGTGCTTCTGGAGATCTCTTCATGTTTAAAAAGAAAAAGAAGTTCTTTCTGCCCTCTGTGTTGCACACAGGGGATCAGCTGATTGTTGGGGTTTTCTCTTCAACCCTGTAGACTCTTTTTGATTTCATTCCAATTAAATTAAATAAAATAAATTTGAATGAAAAAGGAAGAAATGAAACCTTTAAAAACTAACAACTAACACTAAACACTTTCATTGATTTAAAAACTAAACTCAAACAAACTAAAATTGAACTGAAACCTGATTAACGATTAAACATAACTGTGTTAAATGTTGTCCCGTCAGTTCTTACAGTTGGATTTGAGATTATTCAAAGATGAGCATCCTCTAATCTTCAGTGCACCGCAGTGATTTTTATCCACTTAAGAACTTTAAAAGATCAAAACTCTGCAGAACAAAGTATCAGATTATCAGTTTTAAACATTTTTTAAATCCTTGCTGGTAAAGTTTGATAATTTTAGGTTGTGAGACATGCGGTCGTATGTTTTGTTCTCTCAGCATCGGCTATGAAGCATATGAGTTTTACTGTACATGATTTACAAACAACTAGGAGGCTTCATGCATTAGAACAATGGTTAGTTGGATTTTGTGCAGTCTTTAGTTTTGTTTACGGACCTTTTCCACTAATACCTGCTCGGCTCGGTTTTCAGGGTTTCCCATTAGGTGGTAGTACCTGGTACCTGCTCCATTGGGGTTCTGAATGGTCCTAAAATGTGACTGCATGTCAACAGACAGCATGCAGCAGATGGGCCAGTCAGTGGCGTCCCTCGATGTGTCATGAGAGCAAGTCCTTTACAAAATTCCAAACCGCCATTTTTGAAATCCGGCAGTGAGGGAAAGTGGCTCCACACAAACCAACACCGTGATCCGGTGATGAGGTGCAGACACTTGGCATCGGTTTGGCAGCAGGTATACCAGCGCTTCGATATCCTCCACTGTTGTGTTGTGGCGCATACGAATGACATCACAGGAATTTTGGCGGTGTTGCCACAGCAACCCCAAGGACACTGATGCGGTTGTATTATAATAGAAAACAACTGAAACAGAGTCGAGCCGAGCAGATCAGACTGGATACTTGGTTCTCTCCGATGACCTGTAGTTTCGCTTGATTTACACGAACATGTGATTTTTAAAGCGTGTTTGACGGGAACTTGTGGCAACATCGAAAACCTGCAGAGACAAAAAAAAAAGTTTTGTTTTGTTTGTTTGTTTGTTTCCCCCAAAATTGTAGACAGACACTGACTCATGTTCCTCTAAAAAAAAAAAAAAAAAACAAAAAAAAAACCCAGACTGTTGATGTTGTTGTTGTTGTTCGTGTTATTTCTAATGCTAGCTGTGGTTGCCACGGTAACCTGACCCGACTGTTGCCGCCCTGCAGGTTGCTGTTGTCATTGCTGTTGTTATCGTTGTTGCTGCTGGAGCTGTTAACGTGTTTCTATGCTTCTGTGTGTGACGCCAAGGCTGCAGACACACACACACACACGCACAATGCAATCTTTGTGAGGATTCATTGGAGGGGTCGGTCCGTCCATGCTAACTCAAGCTTTGCTCAGTTACTCGCTGTGATGTTGCTACTGCTGGCACATCTTGCGCTCTGGCTCGTTGCGCACTTACACGTCTTTATCACATAAATAAGATCATCTCCCACGTTTGCATCAAGGGTGAGGAGGAAGCTCGGGCATAGATACCCAGAAGGTGCAGAACATGCTCCAAGAAAACAGAAGTTAACGAAAACTTGTGTTCATATTTGAATTACCCCTTTCTCCAAATTCATAACATTATGTTTCGATATTTCAGTGACATTTCTCTTAAGATTACAGTTTAGGGTGCACTGCTGTGCCGACCACGCCACAAATTACTGCAGCATCACTGCTGTGCTTTTTACCAGCAGCATGGTGTCATTACCAAATCTGTAACTACCTGTTTCTACTTGAAAAGTATGATGGGGGAAAGAAAATACTGCACTAACTGAGCTAAGAGATTTTTGGTGGCAAAGGTGGGCCCACTGGTGGTAGTCTCTATGGGAAGGGCTGCCAAAAGAAATGCACAGTCATCCATATTTCTTCTGTACAATACTATGCTTTGGGTTGCAGACCGGTTCAGAAAAAGGCAAGAAAGCGGAAGTTGCTTTGCTCCAACAGTGTTTAAAGTTCAACAGACAAGTTGGAGAAATTTAGGCAGGCGTTGAAGCGCAGCAGGAGCTGCACTTTTCTGCACTTCCACTAATGGCCAAAGTGAGTCAGTCACTATTGACTCATGTTCAAATGTCCAACTTAGGTAAAATGGTCTTTGCACCTAGAGCAGGGCGATATGGCCAAAAATATTTATCACGATATATATTTGAAAATTTGCGATAACGATATAACCGACGATATAATTGATGCGAGACAAAATACAACTCCACAACATTACTAGCGCAAAAAGACAACCTTCCATTTATTTTCACTTAAACAAGAAGCTGGTTTTTATGTACATTAAAGCTTTATAAAAATGTAACAGTGCAAATGCAAATTCCTTGCTGAAAGTTTAACCAAAAGGCATTTCCAGTAGAAATGGGCTGACATATCCTGAGCATAACCATGTATAATATCCACTGAAGTTAAAAAGAGGTGCTTTGCAACATTAAACTGCAGTGTGCAGTACGTATTTTTCGGACCATAAGGTGCACGGGATTATAAGGCACATTAAGCGAAACAAAGCAGTCAGATAAATCAAACTTGATTAAACTCATTCTTCTTGCTTCCTCCACTTCTGTACCATTGATTCATTAATGTTGAATTCTCTGGCAGCTACTCTATTCCCATGTTGCAGTATATTAATGACTAACCTCGTATTGTGGATGGATTATCTCAGTTGTTCTCCTGACTGAAGTTTGGTCCGTTTACAGCATCCTGCCATGCGATTGCATTTGTCTCTAACCATGAAGAACCTTAACGTTAACTTTATAAGTGGAAAAGTGTTAGTGTTGGTCCTCCAGCTTCACTGTTTATGTTATGCTAACATAGCTGTGTTGCTAGCGATCACGTAGCACATCATTATATAGCAGCTAGCCCAACTTCAGTAACCCTACAAACGTCACTGCTGTTTAGTTTCCTGTCTTCATTTATGTTGGAAGTGATAGCAGAGCTGTACGTTTGATTTTTTTCAGAAATCTCTCAGTCAGAACATGCTATATCATGCTTAGGTAACTAGCAAAACTAGCGAGCCAACTTCCGCTAGCTTCCTGCTAACTTCTAACTCCGTTAAATGTAATAACTTTTGTTTTCATGGATGCCTGGAAGTTAAACTTTATAGTTACACCTGGTAAAGCAGCAATGCTGATCGTTTTATTAAAGATGAAAGAATTTAGACAGTTTTTAACGCTCAGTGATGCTGCAGTGTTGTTTGACCTGAAGAATACGGAGTTTAGGACCCAGATTACTCCCAGATTTAAGAGCATCTTAGTCCGACAAATATGACAATAACGACGGCCGCTTGCATGTTCTGCAAAAAAATGTGCTTTGTCGTGTATCTGACGGACAAACACCAAACCAGTTCCACATCACTGAAGTTGCACCATTTTTACAAACCAATTCTGGTTCATCTGTTTCACTCAACAATCGGCCATGTGCGTATGAAAACAAAGGCACTGCGCATGCGCGTTTTACTCCCATTCTATCGCGATATTTCATTTTCCTATCGTTGCCTAACATTATACCGGTATTACCGTGAACGGTATAATATGGCCCAGCCCTATTTGCACCCTACAAAATATTATTGTGAAAAATGTAATTTGTTTTGATTTGACAGATGTTCCCCTCTGCTAGTCGTAGAACTGGACCTGTCTTGTGTGTGCTGTTGGCACTTTTTGGATTATTTTTAATGGAAAAATGTGTCTTTGTTTACAGTCAAATGTAATGGCAGCAAGTATCAAGTATCTAAGCTTTTAGGTTCAAGGTTGGTTGAGCTAAGAGCAGTGCAGTGTCTGCAGTGAGGTTCAGGCTGAGGACAGGGGCGCTCTGGATTTGGACAGATGGTTCATAGATGAGAGGAAAAGCCCGACTACCCAACCTTTCAAAGGTGGGTCCTCACAAGGTTGACCCTCTATTTGGTTCCCACAAAGATAGCTGTGCAAGCACACACGCGCACACACACACACACACAGCTGGAGCGTCAGGGACTGAGTGAAGCTCGTATTCAGTGTTTCCACCTTCACTGAGGTTATTCTGCAACTCGTTAAATACCTGAAACATCTTTCTTTACTACTTAATTTTTTTTACAATGTGAAGTTTAAAAAGGAACAAAAAATCTGATTCAAGATAGAGGTTCTAGTTTTCTCTACCTGATCCAAGCTGGAACCATCCTTCATCAGCTCCTCTGAATTCAGCCTCAGATCGGTCCCTGACGGCGGGATTTCCCAGCCTTTGCGGCGACGTAAACGCAGCACCAAGCCATCGTGTTCGACTGTTCTCTCTTTACAGCATGACTCTATTTTTCTATCAGAGATGATGTGTTTATATTGCGTATAAGATTTAAAGAGTGATGAAGCCTTAAAGATTTCAGCTGCAGCAGAAGAAAGATGCATCCTCATTTAAAAAAAGAAAGAAAGAAAAAAGATACTACCTGTTGTGTATCTTTCTTTCAGAGCATGATGATGAAAAATAAGCCATTTATAACTTTGTGTATCGAGTTTTGGACGCAGGGTTTGAGTCTGACATGTTTAACTTCAAGCTAACCTTTCTCTCACCAGCAGAACATGACGAATGTCTTTATATCGATTAGAAACTGCTTTGCATTCTGGGTAATGTCCAGATTTCTGTTTTTGAAACTCATCACCATCTGAGCGAACTTGACGAGGGGTCTGCTTTGCAAACGTTGCCTGTATGCAGATGAAAGATGCTTGCAAAGTGACATTTGAGGAAATACTTCACCTGCAGGCCTTTAAGTCTTAAAACAATATTTTCAGACGTCTTTAATTCACAGAAGTCTTAAACTGTCTCTCTCGAATGTGAATCACTGAAAGGAAAGCACGTTATGGAAGAGGCAAAGCAAACCCCTGCCTCCAGTTACATAAGGCATCTTTTCACTGTAGGGGCAAAGTGTTGTAAAGGTATCTGCCTTAACAAAGTTCTTGGGCGCTTTCTCCAGGTTTAAAGAATCAGAATCGAAGCCACTCAGCGGTTCCTACCCCGAAAAGGGTTTCTGTAGAGTTGATTCCTGAGATCTGAACATGCGAAGATTGAAAGCCAAAACAGCCGGCTGGTTCCTGCAGTCAGAGGCGGTCTGTGGACATGTACTCAGGATTTGGTGATGAGTTTCACTTCATAAACATCATCAGTTAGATTTTCTGCTCTGGTTTCTTGACATTTATAAAGGAAGCCGTTCCTTAAATCCAGTGAGGAACATCTGTTGTTCCTGAGCTTTCTGTCTGTTCACTTGAGGCCTGGAGTTTTCTCAGTGGTTTTCATCTCATAAACCAAAGGTTGTTTGGGTTTTTCACGTTGACGTCCAAAGCCTGGACAGACTTTGCTGCCGGTCATTCTGCATTTGAGCGTACCGTCCAGCTGCACTTCAGAAACTGTTCGTGTGCAAACCAGCTCAGTGCAACTTAATGAATCTTTGTCTTACTGTAACACTGTTTAGAATTATAGTAACTTTGATATGGTAATACATCTAATGTATGACTTGTTCAATGACAAAACATAACATGAAAAATGAATAAATATTCACGCCTCTTTTAAGACAGTGATTTCTTTTTATAACTAATATTTATAATCTGCTTCCTGTTATCATATGTATGTATCTGCTTTACTTTTTAGTAATTTAAATATGAAATAGGTCATTCATGCTGGGAAGTATGAGCAGCTTCTTGTTATAATGACAAAGATAGAATAAAAGTTTAAAAAAAGGCGTAAAAAGAGAAATTAAATGATGACGGTTCTGGTTTTCACCGGGAAGAGTTTTTTGTTATAACAACAACTGCCTCCTTATGTCAAAGGTTTGTGGAAAATAACTAGAATTTAAGCTTAAAATCTTTCTTGCCAGAAAAGTTTAACATTATGCAAAAATTAAAATTTTTAAATGCTGTCATTCAGTTACTTTTTTTTAATTTTGCAATTTTGAATTAACATTTGCACGTCTGTCGAGCGGTTTCATCCTTTGGTTATTGAGCCTTAATTGCACAGTTTAAATTTCTAGTCTTGAGGGCAAAACTAGCAATTTAAACTTAGAGAAAGAGTACTGACCCATGATCCTTTGCAGCAGAATGACAGACAGAAAGCTCCGGAAGCCGATGGCTGACGCGCCTCCTAATTGTAAAGAGGTTTTCTGTCCACAGTTTGTGTGGAAATCTTCACTGTATATAGACACAAAATATAATCTGAACATATGAATTTGCTATATATTCTGTACCATGTGACAGGCCTGACCAATGGGCTGGGGGTTGTTAATGACGTGTTGTTCCTGTGGCCTGTTGTTGCTGTCAGATCCTGCGTGGCCCCTCCCCTCCTCGGCTGTGATTGGCCATGGAGTTTATTGATGTAAAGTGGTGGGGCCTGCTTTTATTTTTCTGAGATAGAGTGCTACATGTTTAACATGTTATTTACTGGAACCATTTAAAAGAAAAGCTATTTTTTATGGACGTGACTTTAGTTTTTGTTGGTGTACCATGTTATGCTGATGATTCCTCTTGTTTTCTACAAACACACATGCACACACACTGGGAGGACGGTAATAAAACTATTTTGTCCTGTACAGTTTGTACTGTCTCATTTATGACTTTTGAATGCTAAGCATACCTGGGCACGGGAAGCCGTTTAGTTCAAACTTCTAGCATACATGTTGAGTGCTTGTGATGAGTTACCCTTAGTTAAAAAACAATAAACTTCAGATTTAGAAATGTAAGAATTCTGAGAGGAAACGCTCGCTCAGGATTTTGCTGATTGTTATATTGTGGATCACTGTGGATGTGGGGTACTTTTACTGCACCGCTTTAATGCCATGGATTTAATCTCTGCTAATGCTAGCGCTAACTCGGGCCACCTCACTTGCCGCTCATGTGACACGCTCCCATTTCTCCATCAAGAGTCTCCCAGTGGAGGTTAGAGAGCCGGAGGCTGCAGGTCCCAACCTTAAACCAAGTCTTCACAGTTAAAGATAAAGGTTTACCAGGACCTCTTTTTGTCCCCACATGTCAGTGTGATAACAGACAAATGTCCCCATAGCATCAGTAATGCAAGTACACACACTTTTCTGATGGGAATAGTGAGTTTTAATCCAGACTAATCTGGATTTGAGAGGCTGCAGGATTGTTTTCACTCAGCAGGAGTTCACACCGAGTCTCTCACACACACATAAGATGCTGTGTGTGTGTGTGTGTGTGTGTGTGTGTGTGTGTGTGTGTGTTCGCCTCAACCAAATTTTCAAAGATAAGTTTTCCATTTTATTGTTTACATGGAACTTTGACCTGATTTGTCATAAATCTCCTGCAGATAACAACATGAAGGCTGATGACAGTTTATGTGATGTGTGTGTGCGTCTTCCTACACACACACACTGATTCTCAGGGTACAAGCTGACACACATTTACAGATAAAACAGGTTGGAGGAAAAACCTACTTTGCATTGTGGGAGAATTTGGGTTGAACTCGAACGAGGAGGGAATCAGATGTCGGTGCTTCCATCCAGCTGCAGCTCAGAGGTTTAATAAAACATGAATCCATGCTTTACTTTTTATTAAACCTCTGATCCTCTGAACATGAGTTCACCTCTGGTCAGGAAAAGAGCAGGTGGAGTAAATCTTCCTGTTGGCGTCCTTAAACCACACAGAAGAAAGGACGAGCCTTGGAGCTGTCAGTGGTTGGTCTTGTTGTTCTACGGGAGACGCTGATCATTTATTCCAGTATGAACAGAGATTAATGGAGGCTCTGAGGAGATGTAGCCCAAAAATGTATTTTCATCATCGATAGAGGAGAACAATTGCAGTTAAAGCCCCGAGTCTCATAGACCTCACATTACCACCTTACAGCATTTTGATTTGAAGCATGATAGCATCAGCTTCAACCCCCAGCAGCTGCTTCCTATACACACACACGCTGGTTTAACTGTACTGCTAATGTATGGTTACTGTTTTCTGCAAGGTGCAGTTTTTATGGTCTAATTAGCTTTCATGTTTAAAAAGAAAAGATTATTGATATTACATCTCTGAAAACTGAAACAAAAAGGTTTGAATAATTATCTCAGCAGTTTGACCCCGGCTCGCCCATATTGGCTAAGAAGGTGAACACAGGACTGCTGGCGTTTCTTTTGAGGAAGTGCTTTTAACACTAAATATTTGCAATTGGTTTTTGTTTTGTTTTAATTTAAGTCATGCTTTCATTTTCATATTCATCTCCAACAAAACGGGAATTTTTTAAATGATGTTTTATCCACAAATTGAGAAAAGGTTATAATAGCAAACAGCAAGTGTCATCAACTAGACATTCACTCAAAGAAAGGACCCAAATGCACACCAAATAAATAACAAACAAATAACAGAATACAGAGCGGGCAAAGCCTTAAGTAAATAATAACCACGGAGGGTCAGTGACTGGGACGGAGAGGGAGTGGCCTAGTAAATCAGGTTGCAGGAGCGGGCACAGAAAAGGCATCAGAGGAACAGGAGGGATTCTGTAACAGACGGAGAGGCAGGAACTTCACAATCATAAGCAGGTGAAACGAGAAGGTCGGAGGGCAAAGAGATGGAGAATATCCAGGTGAGATTGAACCAGGGAATGCAACACCTCCAAACACAGGGAAAACAGAGTTACACGAGGAAGAAGCAACTAGCATGAGTCTCAGAGGGTCAGTCTAGTTCTAGTTACCACACTAGTGAGCATAACAAACTGGTGAGGAAAGGCAGGTTGCACAGGTTTAAGTAGCTCTCCCGCTGATTGCTTGCAGATGGAATACAGGTGAGGCGCTGGCCCCACCCAAAAGGGGAGGACCCACAGCCACAGATGGAAAACTCCCACGGACCATGACAGGAAGTGAGGGGACTTAATCCAACTGAACCACTCTGAACTTGAAACTGCTCTAAAAGGCTTTTATCAGTAACTTTTGTGACATCAGAAACCTGACTGGATCAAAGTCTCAAGACTTTATAATGTCCATCAGAATCGGATTTAAAAAAATAAAGATATTTAAAAGTCCTGCTGAAACACTGCTTTGTCAGTGTTTTAAAGATTTAAGGTCTGATATGACGAGAAGTGTTTGGTGTGGATTTATTTTTTACTGCTCTAATCTGTGACAACTCCTGACTGATATTAAATTAGCTGATATTTGTGTGGAGTTTGGTTCATATCTGTGATCAGAATGACGATCAGTCTTCTTTTATTCTTCAGCATCTTGTTTTCTTTTTCCTTTTCACCACCGTTTAAACGTCTTCATCATCTCCCTCCTCTCTGTCCAGTCATTTTTAAAGTGAGCCATCGTCACCTCGATGTCCTCATCCTCGCCTTCGCTCCATGTACAGTAACGCTGACTCACCCTGAGGATTTACTGGATCAATGTGAGATCACTCATGATGTCAGCAGGTGTCTCGCATTACTTTGGTTTCCTCACAGTGTTGAGTGCTGGACGTCCGCAGAGATCAGAGAACCTCGCTGGGACTCGCAGTGGAAATTAAATAAAAATGCAGTAACTAAAAGATAACTGTGGATGTTTCTGCGTGTTTATATTTGATCCTTTTTCCATTTTTGATTTCTTCATGTTCTCACCTTTCTGTCTGCATCTTTTCTGGGGAATATCGAGGCGTTCCCAGAAATAAGCTTTGGGTCTGTCGAGGGATCGCCTTCTGGCTGGATTGCAAAAAATCCTCAGTTGGCTCCTTCTGATGTAGAGCAGTGGCTCCTCACAAATCTCTGTGGCTTTTTTAATACTAACAATTTCTTATTTACTTATTGCGTTACAATCCTAGAATTGTTGCTGGTATTATGAAGGCGATAATGATAATATTAATTCATTTATTCCACTTTATCATGAACACATTTGCTACATGTGATCAATCACAATTGTAGAACTTATCAAACTTTTCTCTTTTGTTTGTTGTTTGATTCGTTATCAACATTGTTTGTTTGTTTGTTTGTTTGGTTATTTTTTTATACTAAATAAGAATAAATACAAACAAAGCCCCCAAATTGTTTTGTTTTATGGAGGAAATGAAGCAATGTGTTGTTACATTGTTGTTCACTAAAACTAAAAAACCTTTTAATTTCAGTGTATTTAATTTATATTTATAGGCACTGATTGAATTTCCATGAAATGTCCCAATAAAAAAGAGATGAAGTGCGATGTAAGCTATAAAGCACTGACATCATGCTTAGATACTCTCTGTTTAACAGTAAACTCTTTGCGTCTGATGTGTGACTGAAGACATTTTGACTTGTGAAGTTTCAAACTTCCTGTTTAAACTTTCTGCTGGTTCGTGCCTCAGATCAGACAGCACCACGGAGACACCACAGAAGAAGAAGAAGCAAAGTAGAGAGAGATAACAAGGGGAGCGCAGACTCTCAGTCATTAGGTGAATCTGGAGCATTACGTCATGTCAGAAGACACCCACCCTCCCCTTCCTCCTCCTCATCATCGTTCACCCTCCTCCTCCTCCAGCGCTTCTGTGCAGCATCCGAGCTCCCTGATTGGTCCCTCGTCGAGTGGCCTATAAATCCCATTGGCTGATGGGAAGTCAGCTTCCGCGGACCTGACAGAGGACAGGAGGGAGAGAGGGAGGGATCCTTCAGATAAAAGCGCCAGCAGCAGCAGGACTCGGCCCGCCCTCATCTGGATCACCAAAACATCAGCGGACCGGAGAACCGCCCGCTTCTACCGGACTCATTCCGCCCGGGCTCTGTGAGGCTCTGCCCGGCTGTGTGAGGCTTTGCCCCGGGCTGTGTCTGCAGCTGCGGCTGGGAGCAGGAGAAGCAGCAGGCGGAGGAGCAAGGTGAGAACATGGGCGTCTGTCCTCACTGGAGCACGGAGCTCTGCAGGGACACCACAGTGAGACGGAGGGACGAATCATGAATCAAACCCGGGTTTAATCCCGGGTACTCACCTCAAAGTTTAGCATTTCTTTATTTTCACAAAGAAAAAGAGTCGCTGCTGCGAAACACGAGCTTTGCTCCTAAATGAGCCGAAATGCAGCTGGATGCTGATGACACTGAGTGATAAAGAGAGAAAAGATGAACGGGACTCTAATCAGTCTCTGTGTTTACCGCACTGTGCAGGGAAAGTCAACTTCAGTCTTCAGGCATTGTTAATTTTTAACTTTAAGAGTTTTAGATATAAAACATGACATCAAAACTACTTACAAAAAAATCGGGTCTCATGTGGTGTCTTTTTAAAGTTTATACAGGTGTGTTATTCTTGTTGTCTCTTGATTGTGCTACACAATCATTTTATGAAGTTTGGGTTTCGAAGCAAAAGTCCAGTTTATTCAAGGATCATGGGAACTGTAGTCTTTGCTATAAAATGAGTAGAAAGAGTGTTTTTGAAGAAACCCTGTCCCTGGCTATCCAAAGACTGTATATAAAAGATGGAAATTGTCAGGACTTCTCATTTAAAAAATGTTCCAGCAGTACAAACATGGTTGAGAGGCCTGGTTCAGTGATTTTATTTAGCCGCAGTTTCGTCTTTCAGCCCGTGAGGTTGACGCTCGGTCTGCAGTGCCTCCACATTTTTATCAACATTATTATTCCAGATGTTCTTGCAGATGTATTAATAAACTGTGTTTGCTTCTTTGATCCGTCTGCACTTTTTATGGGCTGATTGACAAAGTTTTAAGACTTGGTGTCATGGTCCCTGGTATTTTTGTTGTGTTTGTTTTTACAGTTGTTCTTTTTCCTTCTTTTTATCATCTTCCACACCTTTTATTAGTATCACCTGTTTGTTCCACCTGTATGTGTAGCTTGCTATTCCTCTTTCCTCCGGTTCCTTTTATTAGATTCGAGTTTTGTTTGTTGGATTTTGTGTTTCTTGGGGTTCTTTTGACTCCGCCCCCAGTGTTTTATTGGCGTTCAGGCTCGTGGGTTCAGTTTCAGGGTAGCAGTTTGAGTGTGGGCCAGGTGTGCAGTTTTTGTGGTGCTGCTTTAAGACTTTAGTCATTCTTTTGTTTTAATTAGGTTTGCATAATTTATTGTGTTGTGGGTGAGGTTGTTGCACCACTTAAAGTAAAAATATTTACTGGGTTTATAATGTAGATTTGATGTCATCAACAGTATTTTTGAGTCTCACTCCATCTCCTTGCATGTGTATTTTCAGTCTAATTAATTCCCTAACGATGAAACAAAACACTAATTTTTTTCGAGCTATTTAAGTTTATTACAGATATCTCGTGTAAATGTTTTACCCGTCAGTGGCAACTCTTTTCTTTAGTCAGACTGGCGTTTCAGTGTCGGGCCAGCAGCAACTACTTTCTGGCTTTTTGTGCAGATTTTAATCAAAATCCATCTATATAGTCGTCATCATCCGTCTAAAACGAAGCTCCCTCGTTTCATCTTCCTCGGGAGACGTGAACCTCTGGCATTTTGATGCAGATTCAGACAGAAAGGAGGATGACTTGACTTATTGTTGCATAATAGATTTTTCTGAATGAAAGTAGGTCAGAGAGTTTCTGCACTTCAGTCGACTTGGTTTCACATCCACAAGGTTTCCACAGCAACACCGACTCAGCTTTATGTAATCACCTCTTACCTCTTCGACTCTCAGTTAACCCTCAGGTTTATTTTCCACAGAACGACTGCAGCAACACGCTCGCAGTGATTCAGACAGGTTAATCCGTCCCTTTGTGGTTGTTTTGTGTCTCTTTGTGGTTGTAGAGCAGATGAATTTAACCGAGAGACACTGAAAAGTCCCTGCAGCAGTGCAGAAGAATTAATCAAAATGCACATTCAGTTACAGTTATGGCTTCCTGCACTCAGAAAAATTATGGTTCTTAAATGGTTCTTCAGATGTCTTCATGGTTCTTTAAAGAACCATCATACGTCAAAGAACCTTTTTATTTTGTGGATGGTTCTTCAGCTATTACAAATGGTTCTTTAAAGAACAAAAGGTTCTTCATCCTTAGCAATCTAAGTTTGATGGTGTAAATGGCATAAATATTTATTCACTATAATGAGGCTGTGAATTATACTGTGTTTTTTCTTTGTGTGCATGTGTGTGCAAAGGGGAAGGGCGGGATACCTGGCAATTACCCTTTAAGAGAAGATGGTAGGAAACTGAATATTCAAATAAAAGTTAGAAATATTTGCAAACAGTAGACACAATACACACATTCAAATACTGTACTTTAGTTTTAAATTTTAATAAAGCATTACTATTTTCTACTCCAAGGCATTACTTTTGAGATTATTATATATTTTTGAAAATATAGCATAATGATAATAATAAACTTTACAAACCACCCAGCAGTATGTAAAGTCAAATTATAAAATACAAGTAAATAACAATTGCAGAACAGAATGTCAGTGTAATGAACACACACTTCGTTTTGACAAAGCGCACTGCTTAGGTAAATGATCTGAGTAGTTGTTCATCACTGAGCAATTTGTTAATATGTGTTTCGAGCCAAATAAATGACAGGGAGAGAGAGTGACGTCAGAACACGTCATACTATAACCTACAGGGAGCGGACGGAGGGGGTCAGTCGTTGGGATGCGCATGTGCAGACAGAGTGTGCGAGCGGCGGGCCTTGACCTTTCGGGAAAAAAACTCACAGACGGTGACAGCGAAACGGATAACAGTCTTCAGTACCTGCTGGACTTTGAAGCTGTGGATTCTGGGACTGTTAGAAAAGGTAAAACATTTCCATTAAAACCTTATTACTGTTTTGTTTTTGTTACTCGTCATTGTAGCTTGCTGTTAATGTTGTGCTAACAGTAGCGATTAGCTAGATACGTTAGCCGTTGAGGTCAACGCAATTTAGTATCCAACTGTTTTCCTAACAAAACCACTGTTATAATTAAGTGAAGCTGCTCCCAGCTAATTTGAACCTTTGGCTTCTAAAATATGTGGTTCAATTGCGTGCTGCGTACATAACCTAATGTCAGCTAGACCGAAATTAAAATGTAATATATTGTTAAAGTCACTAAAATGGCGCCTGAAGCCTGTTGTGGCGTGAGCTCTGTGTCTGCTCTAGAAACTCTGAAATTCTGTAGATCTGAGCCGTACATTAAATACTCACATGAACCTGTACCTTGAATTCTGTATGAGCTGTATAAAATACAGCTATGCATAAGAGTTTTGAATGAATAATTAGATTAGATAACTCTTTATTGTCTAATCGAATTATATAGAAATGAATAGAAATGTGACATGAGAAGGTGTGTCCTTGACTGTTCCTGTATAACTTAGTTTCGGACTAGTTGACAAGTTATGCTCCAGTCATTTGATGTTTCCAAGATAGATGTTCTTTTGTAATATAGTTAATTTTTTGTATATTTCATTTATCCACCATCATACATCATACATACAAGCTAAGAAGAGGTCGTTATACTAACAAGAGGTATCAACGCTGGGCCAAAGTTCAGCACATGGTTAAAGTTTGTAATCCAGCCAGGGTGTAAATATCACTCAGCAGCCAGAGCTGAAGCAGGTAGCATCAACACATAAATCTACTCTACCCGGCTTAAATCACAAGAGCACCTCTAACCAAAAAGCTGTAGATTTTTCTTGTTTGCACAAATTAATCCAGATTCACATTAACTGTGTTCACAGCTCCAACAAAATGAGGAAGACGAGGGGGAGAAACACAATTAGGTTGAATTACAATTGGATGGAAGGCGAGGACAAGGAGAAGGAAGCTTAGGATGAGGAGGAAGAGAAGCAGCAGGAGCATCTTTAGGGATCCCTATGATGTCATTGAGGTTTGTTTCATTAATATGGTCCTCTCACAAAGAAAGATGACTTGTTTTAGTTCACCTACTTCCTGTATTTAATAGTGATGTGCAAAATGTTGTGGAAAAACCATGGAACAGGCACGTATAGTGCATCTGCAGGTAAATGAACATCAAATCTCTAAGACAGACTGAAATCTGTATATTTATCACCCTTATGATAAAACCCATGTCAGCCATTGGTTTATGGACTTTGTATTTTTTTAGCCTCAGCATCTGCTTTATTGCTGTTGCTATGTTGGGACCATATTAGGATGAGGGATCAGGATCTGGAGTCATGCACACTATTGTTTCATTTAGTGTGTATCCATAAGATTCGTACAGCAGATCCAAGTTGTGCCTTGAAAACAGGAAAGTCGTCTGCATAGAGGAGAACTGTAATAGCAGGCTTGTACAAAGTGAGGCTTTGTGCTCTCGTTTTACTTCTGTCACCCTGTTTTGATGCAGAATTCATTTGAAATCAGGCAAGAACTGGACTTATTTTTTATAATGTGTTCTTGTGAATTGATTGTGTATCGCATATGTTTGATTTGACTTTCTGCAAGACAACAGTCGTCCACTGGCCAAAAAAGTTTTCCAAATACCTCCACGTGATCTAGCCTGGATTTAGAAAAGAATAGCAAAAAATCTGCACCTCCTGCTTCAGATGCAATTTGTGTTTCTGTGTTCAGAGGCAGCGGCGAGAGGGGAGACCTCGGCTCATCCAGCTGGAGAGCCTGACCAGGAGGAGTCGAGAATTAACTCAGCTCTTCCAGGGCACCCTGCAGACTCGGCTGCTGGCATCGGCGAGGGATGACGTGAACGCCAAACTGGAGTCCATCACAGGTCAACTGCAGGTATGCGAGTCAGACCTTCTGAGGAGGGTTTCACTTCTCTCTCTTCTTTATAATTGACTCTTTTCTCGATCTCTTTCAGCTCCTTGTCTCAGAGTGGGAGGGATTTGAAGCACAAAGGGAGGAGCTTGTCGTTTGGTTGGCTGATATGGATGTCCGCCTGAGAGGTTGACCAGCTGACAGGAAACACCAGTGAAAAACTGAAACAACTGCAGGTG